GGGTCGTGACCCAACAGTGAGTAGCGGGACCATTTTCAGTGGGTCGTGTGTGTTTTTTTTTTTTTAAGTTACTTTTACTGTTACCACCCACCCCCTCCCCCACCCCCACCTTCCTGGCCGACAACTTTATTGGGTCGTGACTTAATGGGCAGGGAAACATGCAGGTCCTGAGGCCAAGCTGGCTGAGAATCGCTGCTTTCGGAATTTTGGACAGCTGAAGCTTTTTTTATTGGCATAAGGAAAGTAAGACAAGATAAGATAGATCTTTATTGTCACAATTACAAAAACAGTGAAAAACATACTATAATTGTTTAATATAAAAAAAGGGGAAAAAAGAAGATAAAAACTCCAGATCTACTTTTATTGGTTTCATTATCGTGGCAAAAATTACGTTTAGTATATTCATTTGCTGATTATACTAGTCAAGGCATACATTTTTTTTTAAAAAAGGAAAAATAAAAATATCTTCACTCTGTGCAGCATAACCTCAGGCTACGTCTGCAAAAAACCTGCATTAACTAGAAAAGTGCAAAAGCTCCCAAAGTCTCAAAGGCAAAGAAACAGAACGGGAACTCGGGGAAGCAAAAATCAAGGTCTGAGAGGCAGACCTGGCGCGCGTTATAGCAGTACAGAAATAGTGAGCGCCACTTCCTGTGCACTGCTGAAACCCTCTAGAAGATGCAAGCCTTCTTCCGGTAGCTGTCACTGAAAGCAGATCTGGATTGTTTGTTTTCTTATTGTGACATTAACAAACCGTTCCCATGACCCCTCGCAGTGATCCCCAACCTTAAAACTCTCAGTCACTGTGAAAGCCAGCCAAATCGCATGCTTAGGAAGTTGTATACAGGACACGGCACTGTTTGAAGGCAATGCATTCCTTTTACCTAAAACATTTACATTATTACATTTTACTCTAGTTTTTATGTTTATGTTTTTTGGAAAACCAAACTGTCTATCGACTTCACTTATAACACATTATATTTGCAGGGTAAGACACAAATATATTTTTCTTCACATCAATATTACAATATCTCAATATATAGATCACAAGCAGAAAGAGCTGTCTTCCTCTCAAGAATTAGTTCTATTGTATGGGATTTCTCAGCCAAAGCTTTATATTAGCATTATAGATTGCAAAAATTGAACATAAGCAGGGTTGAGAATCATGTTTAGAGAAGTGAAACCTATAAGCAGTCATTAATGTACAGGGAAGTATAAGCAGTCATTAATGTACAGGGAAGCATAAGCAGTCATTAATGTACATGGAAGTATAAGCAGTCATTAATGTACAGATAATACTGAGTGGACCACAGTGAAACAACAATGATGAAGATGCTGGCATCACAAGGTGGTTGCTAAGCATCCACATGACATCATAGTCCCAAAATTGGGCAAGATACAATATACTATTTAATTGTTCTATATTAAAGAAAAACTGTACTGCACTGAAAAATTGCTTCTAATGCGGAGCTGTGGTTTTTAGGCAGAGGAAAGCCATTTTGCTTTAATGGAGAGTTAATAACCTTGCCCCAATATTCAGAAGGAATCCCTTGACCAGACTCCCAAACAGCAGAAAATATTCTATGAATGTCTAGCTACTGAAATAAATTTCCCTACCCTACAATTCTGTCAGCACAACCACACAGGAGAATTTGCTGCAATAATGTCACAAATGGGAAAAGTTTCAAATAGTTCTAAAAAGATCAATCATTAAACAGGACATTTCTCTGACAGCTGACAATGATTCGTATCGTATTTATATTGATGATAACTTTGCTCCAGATAATTCTTAACAGGTGGTTGGAGTCCACTTTTCAGTTACTAAGCAATATCTTTCACCCTGTACCTACATCAGACACCATATTCATCAGGCTGGCCAAAAGTTAGGCCATAAAGAGGACCAGAAATTTTACTATGGGCTGTTTTTAAATCAAGACCTCAGAAGGGAAAAATTTCTGGACTTACAATTAAGAAAAAAGGGCCAACTATCCGATTCACTGGTCAGCTTCCAGTGAGTTCAGAAAGCATTTGGTAGACTCATCATCTTTCGCCCGCTTTCAGAACTGTTTATGTAAATTACCCAAGTACACTAAATTTAGTTAAATGTTGATTTTTCTGAAAGAGAAATTAACTATGGCACCTATGAAAATATGTGAGAAATATACTGTGGTTAACGAAGGAAAGGTTATTTATAGGTTAAATGGATGAGTACCACCCTTGCTCTGCTGGAAAGAATATGTTACTGAAGTGATCGAGGTTTTGAAGGTGCAGCTGATTGTCAGATATTATCAGACAAATTTTTATTCCAATGCAGAGCCAATCAGCAATGCTAGTAACTGACAGACTCCAAGGCATAATAGACGTTAAAAGAAATTGTGATTTTGCTGTAAGTTAGTGGTTCCCAAATGGAGAGGACCCCTCCCAAAAACACTGGCCAGATCTCATGACCCCCGTTAGATACGATAAAAGCCACCAAGTGGGGTGGGGGTGGGGGGTTCCTGCATGATAAATTTCACCGACTGGATGCTAAAATAATTGGTTAAAACTGCTACCAATTAAATTAGTCGGGGGAGGGAGGGATCTAAAGGTTGCCATATATATGAGGAATGATCAGTGCTGCAGTAGTCATAAAAACCAGGAAGGTAAATGAGGGGGAAATGCTTTCAGTTTACGGGAGCGGCGTATAAAAGGCAGAACCGAGTCAGCAAGGACACGGGTCAAAGCCGCACTTATGGAACTATGGGAAAAACTCTAATCCCAACATGACGACCTTAACCCCTACCCAACCCTAACCTCAACCATAAGTAACCAAACTAAATATGAAACTTTTGGCATTTTTAGTTTCTTGATTGCAGTCACAGATCTTTGTGGGGTCCTGAAAAATAGTCCCTACAACGTCAAAATAACAGGTTTTTTATCATATTGTGTAATATATACATGACCGACCCACGCAAACACAACGGACAACACAGACACACTAATGTTTAGTTATGAAACTGGCGACTTCATTTCACTAATGAAGATTAACTAGGAAGTGGTTCATTAACAAATAGCATGACAATATAACATACGGGTCTTGGGAGAATAATGACACTGAAAGAACACATTAAAATTGTGGAAGCATCTTATTTCATACATGCTATTTAAAGGCCCTTTCCATTTTTCAGCAGTTTGACGTTCGATCGTGGTGTATAATCGCTTCAGTGATATTGTTCTCATGAAAGCCAACCAACTGTTAGCAGATCCTACTAAGGCATTCCTAATGGTCCATCAATGGGAAAGGTGGGAGCGGGATTCGTAGTTAAAAAAAGAGCGTTTCACTTGGCTGGAGAGGACTAAAGAGTAAATGACCTCACTCTCAGCAGCAGCTGCACTGCAGGAAGCCAGAAAGCCCAAATAAGGCAGAATGTTTAGACTCTCGGATCCTTTCGGAGTTAGCTCATCCGACTTTCGACTTTTCCCAACACTGGACCCTGCAGTGGCTGTGGGGGTCAGTCTCCCGCAATCACCAAGGATTCCCAGCATTGAGCAACACTGGTAACCCACCGGTTACTGGTTTTTTATCTTGCTCTGCTTAGTAAATGTTTATCCAGAGTGGGGGGGGGGGGGGGGGGTGACTATTTCGAGGGAATAGGTTGTGGAAATAAAAGTCCCTGCGAGTGACAAAGTCACTGATTTTTAACGAGTTATTTCAGAAACGGTGGGGAAAAAAAATAGTGCACATAGACGTACAAGTGGAAGATGGATGGCAAGTGACACTGTTTATTAACGAAAACCGAGCACAGAATTTCTTTGGTAAGATTAACCGTGGCTGTGTGTTTTGCAAGAGGGCTGCCTGCGATCTTCACAGGCAGGAGCTTTCAGCGTGGCTGAAGTTTATTTAGCATGGTGCGATGATTGTAGCTGTTCTGAAGGCACGTGAAGGATTTGTGTTCACAGAGAGTTTGGTTTCATATATTTAAGTCCAAAATTCTGGATAAAAATGGATAAACAGAAGGTCGAATGGCTGTGCATTGCTCTGTGGGATAACTGAAGATAGTTTTCACGTCCTGCACACCTGACCTCCCGTCTCCTCCTTGATGAGCCACGCTTGTTGCTTATTACCCATTAGTCTTTGTACAGTATATAAGTCAGATCATAAGTAAGACCTTCTTAACCCAGAGACTGCCTGTACATAAACAACCATTAATAATAAAATATACTCTGTATGTTTAACCAGGCACCAAGCTGGGTGATGTAAGGGAACAGACACTATAAAATACCCACTACCACCATTTTACTGTAGTTACCTTAAAGCTGCAATTTGCTTAGCTTTTAACTTAGTGTACCTTATACATATATATGCTGATTCTTCTAAACAAAAGTAACATTTACACTCTCTTAACCCCAAAGTGCGACCAAGGGTTTTGACTTACTTTAGCCGCACCGATTTGCTCTTTGCGAAACTTCTCCAGTGGCGTGATCAAGACGTCATCTGCATTTTGTATCTGAAACGGAGTAGAAAAAATGTTTGTAGGATGTGCACAGATTCACGAATCTACAAAACATCCATCCATCTTCCAATGGCTTTTCTTAACAGCCTGAGACAGGGGTGCACCCTGCACAGGATGCCAATACATAATACCCAGCAGAAATATAAACTACAGCACGTAAAATAATGGGTCTGCCCCCCCCCCCCAACCTGAAATCGATCAGGCACGTAGGCAGGTAGTGAAATTGCCCCCCTTGAAATCTGCTTCAGCCCCCCTGTCATATCTTATATGATGTTTATCATTTATCTGCTTAAATGCTCATATTGGCTTGGTGTACATAGATTTACATTTTTACGGTTTTCTCAGGAAACACAAAAAGATTCTCGTAATGCAGTAAATCGTCTCAATAAAAAAAGCCTTTATGCACAAGTAAATGGTTAGACCACTGCACTTAATTGCAATTTAATGCCATTTAAAGTACTCCTGTAAAACGGCAAGAACTCATACATCTGGCATGCAGTGGAAAGGTATGAAGAAAAAATAAAATAAGTGGCTCTGCATTTTCGAGCAAAGCTGCACGCTCGCCCCAATGAAACACAGCTCACTGCTTCAGGAAAAGCAATGCAATTTAAATTGTTAGTAATGCAACCCGGACCCAGATAAGTGGCAGAAAATGGATGGACGGATGGATGGATGGATGGATGGATGGATGTATGTTAGTAATGCTATATCCATACTTTCAGAGTATTCTCCTTATTTCAAACACATAAAAAAGTCTGATATAAGACATATTTGTAAATTACTATAAAAGAAAAAATGTATCCATCTCATATTTCCAGAGGAACAACTTGCAACATAACTATGGCCATTGTGGTTTCTGTCAGTTACTCCAAAATGCAAATTGAGTCAACCTTTATATTAAGCAATTATGCACCTCTTCCAAAGAACTGCTACCATCAGACAATGTGATTAATTAGTCCCAAATGATAATTATAATATACACATTGCTTCAAAAATTGATCAGTTCTGTTGAAAACAGATTTACAATTCAATCACCCACGGATCATTGATGATAAAGATTTAAAGCATGACAAAGCCAAAGCATGATGTTGGATTAGAAGAATTAAGTGCTACATGCATTATTTTATCTATTATTAGATCATGTCCATTTTGAATCTACCCCAGTGCAACGTACACAGGACTGCCTATCCTTTTGCATGGTGTGCTAATAATAATAGTTTTCATGGAACTGGACAACCTGATTTCCTTTTAGTAGAGACCTTTTAGCTGTTACTTATTAAACAGGCTAAAGATTACAGTGACTGGGTTCTCAGTCAGACCAGAATCTCAAACATTCAACGTCCTGCGTATTGTAGATCGATTCAGAATATGCACGATGATTTCAACAGCATGTATACCAATGCGAAAAAGTGCTCATGATTACCGAGTTAAGTCAGAAATGCCAATAATTTCAATGCTGAAGTTTCAACAAATTGCCCGCCTTGGCCCAGACATTCTGACCTTGAGGTTTGGGTTGACTACCAAAACAATAATCCACCTTTGTTTGTAATTGAATGGACATTCTACTTAGAAAATAAGGAGCATATTGTCAATGAGTAAAAAAGCTAAACGAAAATTCCATTCCATCTGGCACCAATATGGACGTAATAATAATAAAGGCTAATACACAGCAGCACAATCTATGTTAACAACTGGTGTTACTCTGTGTCATTCTGTGGCAGCTCATAGTGGCTCTACCTACACTCTGAACATCTGACGACTTCAAACAACCTGCTGATACACACCCAGGACACCTCTGTGACATCACAATAAGATTCAAGATCAGGTACCCAACCCCAGCCACACTCTGACAGCAATTTATTTACTTCATCAATGTATATATTGTATCTTTAAGATAAGACAGAACTTTATTTTCACTATTACAAAAACAGTGAAAAACAGTTCAACAGCAGCTCTCTGTTTAGCAGCAAAAGTTATAGTAATAAATAAGAAATATGAACAGCACACAAAAAGAAACAGCCGTCCTATTATAGTAACATTAATGAGAATCCTCTCATTAATATTACAATAGCTTAAATGTCCAAAGATGTCTGTTTCACAATGGCAAACAATTCTTTAAAATTACTGTTATTGTGCATCTTGAGTACAATATTTATGGTTGTCTGTGCATGTGATAAAATTAGCAATAAGCCCTATAAAACAGCTATTATTTTAGAAATATCAATTCAGCCCTGCTACAAAGTGTGATATAACACCACAAATCTGTTTTACTGCGAGTTTCGGAGTCGCATTCCCCTAACCCTGTTTTTTTGCATTGGATATGTGCACTTTAGTATGTGATTTTCGTGAATCTGAGGATTTTCTGGAATGCATCAGTTGGATTGTAGTAGGACTGACTGTACTGTAGTTTCTTTGAAAGAATCATCTATGTTTTTTCAGGTGTTTTTGTGTCCACAAGTTATTCATTTCAAAAATTGTATAGATATAGCTGTAAGCTATATACATTCAGGAGTGAGGAAGAGTATCACCATGATCATTTCAATATTTATCATCTAAGATCTTCTAAACAAAAGTGTCATCCAAGCCCACACTTATAAGTAGAACCAACAGAAACTCATTTCTCATTGTGATAACTTACCCTGCACTATACCTCAGGGCTATATCCACATTTTACAAATCAATGACTTTGCATTTATCCTTTTTGAATGTCTTCAGACAGCTTCTGTGACTTAATCTTTAATAAACTCTTATGCTACATCCTTTGTGAGTCCAAGCCAACATAGAATTACCAATTTACCAAACTATGACCTTTTTCAAGACAATACAGTCATGGACCAAAAACAGAGCCATTTGGTATTACACTAATTATGCTAATACATGCAAGGATAGATGTACGATCTGTGCTGTTACGCAGTTTGTTTCTTAAAAAGAGAAACTCCCCAACTCATCCAGGTTCATTCAAACATCAAAAGACAGATAGAAAGTCTAATCCTCATCCCACCTGGTTCAGTCTGACCTTCCTTTTTGTTCCTAACCCTGGCCTACAGGCCTCTCAAAAACAAGGCAAAGTGATCTGTCAGGGTAGGAAAGATCTGGCATGAAGGAGCCTCCTCACATCTTCAGGACTGGTCAGAATTCACGGACTGGAACTTATTTGCACAATAGCTTACACATGAGGTACACACTGGCATTGAGGAGTGCACGTCCATAGTACTGTTTTATATTTAAACACAAAAACGTGTCGACAATGCCACCATCAACAAATGCATTTGGAGATCTCCCAACCAGAAACCATGGAAGACTAATAAGGTCCAGAATCTGCTAAGAACTCCCAGCACAGCCTTAAGGGCTTGGTACAGTGTACTGTGCTGTCAGGTCTAACTGAAAAAAGGCATCAAATGTGCCAAGACATGCTTTCAAGCATTTGGATCAAGAACCACTTCAACAATCAATAATCACAACCCAATCACTGATTCCAAAAACAGGAATACCCCGCCCCCCACCCCAAGCAAAGATGCCTCAATATTAGAAGACCTAATTAGATTTTTTGCTTAATTTGACAAAGGCAACCAAGACAATGTTCTGTCTGTATGAGTTCTGTCCACAGCTAACAACTGAGCATTCACGTTATGCACACATAACATATGATGCATGTTTCGTGGGGGTGAATGCAGGAATACAGTGGGCTCAGATGGAACACCTGGACAGGTTATCAGGGACGGTGCTGACGAGTTGCAGGGTCACCTCATCAAGATCCCAAAGAAAGGAAACCTCAGTCCCTGCTCAAGCTACACAGGGATAAAGCTTTGGAACATCCCAGGCAGAGTTTTCAACAAGATGACAGATGCCACAGGACCTCTGCTCTGGGATAAGTAGTCTGGCTTCCATGAAAATAGATCTTGCATTCACCATATTGCAACACTGTGCATCATCCTGGAGCAGTCGCAGGAGTAGAACCCTCCCCTGTATGTCAAATGATAAGAAGGTGTTTGATAGTTTGGACTGGGAGACAGAATGGGGTGCTGAAGATGATCACCAACATCTGGTGGGGGGTGACCTGCAGAACAGCTCATGGAGGTCAACTCACAGACGCCTTCCGAATCCAAACAGCAAGTAGGCAGGGCTGTTTGTTATCACCTTTCTTATGGATCATGAAGAAGTCCACAGCACAGAGGCGAAATGGGATCCAGTGGAACACCTTGAACACAGCTGGATGACCTCTACTCTGCAAATGATTCGGCTCTTCTCTCCCACACTCAACAACAGATGCAGGAAAAGACCAGCATTGTCATGGAAAACACAGCCACCCTGGGACTTAACATCCACAGAGGAAAGATCCTCAAGGTAATCATTGCCAACACATCCCCTATCACACTGGAAGGTGAAGCACAAGTAGAGGTGGAGAGCTTTACTTACCTTGACAGCATTGTTGACCAGATGGGTAGGATGGACACCAATGTTAAGGTTAGGATCAGCAATCAAGGGCAGCTTTCCTCCAAATAAAGAATATCTGGGGATCCAGGGACCTGTCCATCACCACCAAGATCAGGGTTTTCAGTACCAATGTGAAGTCAATCCTACTCTACAGAGCTGAGACATGGAGGACCACGATTAACACCACCAACAAGATCCATTATTTTATCCACACTTGTCTGAGAAGGACGCCCCAGATTCACTGGCCTGACACTATCAGCAACCAAGAACTGTGGAGGCAAACAAAACAAGAACCCTCAGAGGGAGAGATCCTCCTTCAACACTGGAGGTGGACATGTGGATAGGCCACACCCTCCGTGAGCCAGCTTCAGGAAAGATCCTCACATGGGATCCCCAGGGAAAGAGGCTGGCTGTGAAACATCTGGTGCCCTGACCTAGAAGCAGATACGAAGAGAAAGGGCCACACCTGAGGGCAAGTAGAGACACTGACCCAGGACTGAGATGCCAGGGAAGCTCTTGACAGTGGCCTATGCCCCAGGTATTGGGTGAAAAAGAGAGCTGACGAGTTGGAGGAATTCACTAATAATTCAGCCTCTAATAATTCAATCTGTCTCTATCCCAAGCCATTGTCCCAAAATACGTCATAGCCTTCATTGCATTAGTGCCAAAACATACAGCCATCAGTAGCCTGGACGATTTGCTCCCAATTGCCCATACCCTCATCACCATGAAAGTCTGTGAGAGGCTGCTCCAAATGCACATCAAGGCAATCATGCCAGCATCTCTACACCAACACCAATATCACAGATCCATGCCCTTCACACTGTTCCAACCCAACATGACAAACAGGACACTTGCATTTGGTGCTTTTCACTGACTGTAGCTTTGCTTTCAGCAAGATCATCCCCAAAAGAATTTTCTCTAAATTGCGTGACCTGGGCCTCATCCACCTCCTCTTCAGCTGGATTTCTGACTTTCAAATTAACTTCCCTCAGACAGTTAGCCTAGGATTCCATCCATTCCCTGCCCTGACACTTAACACCAATGTACTCAAAGGCTGTGTGCTGAGTCATCTTCTTTATGCCCTATACACCCACGACTGTGTACCCACCCATACCGCAAACAGGATCAGCGATGAGCTGACTGACAGGCAGGAGGTACAGCACCTATCGAAATGGTGCTCTGAGAACAATTTGACACTCAACGGCATTAAGACCAAGAAGCTCATCATTGTCTTTAGAAAACGTAGCAATAAGATTGCTCCAGTCTACATGGTGGAGAAGGTTTCAACTTGGGTACTCAAGAGGACCTCTCCTGGACAGCAATCTCCAACTCCTGGTCAAGAAGACACAGCAGTAGCTATACTTCCAGAAGACACTTAAGGAAGCCAACCTTCAACAACCTGATTACAAAAAGTTGTCAGCAATACCTACCTTCATAGCTGGAGGCACTGCCTGCCTGCAAAGAGCTACTAACGTCAGGAGAGACCCATGACATAGAAAAAAGCACCGCAATCAGGCTAATCCTCACCGTCAGGTAGTTAGCTACGTATTAGATACAGAACAAATCCGATCTCTTGCTTTTATTCAGAGCCAGAACATTTTGTTTGAGTTTAGATCTCAACAATACAAAGGTAATTTCTGCTTAAGCAGGAGTTGATGTTGTCCAAATAGATATAAACGTTATCTAAAAATAGTGTAGAAACAAGCACTTACTCAGCAAATAGATTTAAAACATATATATTAGTATCAAATTCATGGCAACAGTACTAGAAACAATTAATACTCAGCATCTTGAGTAACATCCTTTATTAATTCAGAAAGGACATCAAGTAATCTTCAACTTACCAGTAAGGTCTCACTCAAAATAAATTTGCTTTTTGTGCAAAATAAATTTGCTTTTAGTTCATTAATAAATACAAAATACTAAATTGACACAAAGAGTATATTTAAGTAAATACATTAAAGTGTATTTAATGGCATTATAAGTAATGCTTTGTCTGAGTGTACTATGGGCTGAAAAGCAGGAACATTTCTACTGCTTCTGGAGTCTCAATTGTTTTTTTTAACACCATCCTTCGCTCAGTCGAAGAATGAGGCAATTTGGATGTGTCACAAAGGCCGGATCCAGTCACAAACAGCACTGCTACTGCTGCAACCGTGTCTAACAAGCATGAGAAGAAAAAAACTGTGGGAAAGTAACAAGTGAGATAAAACACCAGCAAAAAGATTAAGCTGATTAGGACGAGTAACAGCCTTCGCAAAGATGCATGTAGCTATAACCGAACAGCAGCTGTACTGTATTCCTGTACATATCACACACTCACTTCATTCTATGAGTAACATAAGTGGCACTGCTCCTTGACTCGTTACCTTTTAAGGAAAAACACTT